TTGCATCCCACACTGCCTGGGGCGCTGCTGCCCCGCCCGGCAGAGGCACCTGGGCCCGAAGGGAGGCCATGATCTTTTTTATATAGTAGCTGATAAGCTGGTGTTGCCTGGGTATTTATTTATCCTAATCCTGTATTAGACAGAAAAAGCCCTGATTTTGTTGAATATGTCTGGACCAAACATAATTTCTAATGTTGTATTTTCCCCCTTACCAGTGGGAGCTCCCTTGTGGAGTACTGCGAAACTATTACCATGGAAACTCCACTGCGCTATACAGTAGAAGCCATTTTATGGCAGTACAGTAGAAGCCATTTTAAGGCATAATAGGCTGTATCTTAACAGAACACACCCCCCGAGGGGTATTAGGGGTGTCTCTTACCCCACAGTATTTGTTTCCAGAGAGTAAATCATTTGTGTACCAAGTTTGGTTGAGATTGCTTGAAGCGTTCCAGAGTTATGCTGGACCATACTCACATATATATACACACACAGCCATTTTTATATACACAGATATAACTTAGTTCGCAAAGGCCAATTCAGTTCCTGTTCTACTCAGATGACACTATTTCAGGCTATATACAATTATCACTCATGCTGTTGCTAACTCTTCCAGAACTCTTCTTATGCGCAGAATACATGCACAGAACATGTATTGATTTTCTTCAGTAGAAGTACTTATTTAACCTGATGTTTTCTTGGGAATGTACAGCTGAGAAAGAATGGAACAGATTCTATACATTCCTGACAAGTGTATCAAAACTTATTTCTATGCCTGCCTTTCCTCTTCTCCACCATCCTTGTAGCTCATTGATTAATGATTTACTTATTTCATACCAGAGAAATTCTGTGTGAAGTGTGCACCAACGCTGTCCTTTGGAAGGTGTCCCTGGGCCTTCAAGTATTCTGTTCCTTCGAATCTGATCAGCCAACCAGTTTCCACTGCCATTGCGCATAACAAATTTATCTAGGAAAACCAACTGGCTTTCCGGACCATAAAACCAGTTGTAGTTAGAATCTGCAATAGCAACAGTTCTTTGGAATCCTAGCAGGAAAAATTAAAACAAACATATATGAAAGTAAACACTTTACTTAATATTACATATTTAAGTGATAGAAAGTAGAAAGAGTTCCCAATTATTTACAATATTACATATAATATTAATAATATTTATCTATTTGTAAGGTTCTAATAAAGCTTTAATAGCATTTTTCCTCTAAAATGTCTGATTCTTAAATTTCAGACTATGAAACATTAATATGATCAGATTTACACACAGAATGTCTCGAGGATTCTTTGTAGCATATTAAAATCTATTTAATGCCTCACTTAAATTGATAATCTTTTTAAAACTGTATTAGAATAGAATAGAATAGAATAGAAGAGAAGAGTTGGAACATCCCTTAGAGGTCTTCTAGTCCAACCCTCTGCCTAGGCAGAAAACCCTACACCACTTCGGACAAGAGTCTGGGCAGAGTCTTCCTTGATTTCACCAATCACCAGATGGAGGAGAAAGTTCAGTGCAGAGAGAGAAGGGAAGGAGGGGGGATATTTTCAGTCACATTTAAAGAAACACTGTGCTGCAGTTTTTAAACTTCTGCGGGGTGTTTTCTTGTTATGTGCGCAGCCGCGCAGCTTAGAGGGGACATTGGCCTCCAGCGTCCTAATTTTCCTTGTTGCTCTTCTCTACACTCTTTGTACAGTCTCCACATCTTTTTTACATCGTGGCGACCGAAACTGAATGCAGTATTCCAAGTGTGGCCTTACTAGGGCATTATAAAGTGGTATTAACACTTCACGGCATCTTGATTCTATCCCTCTGTTTATGCAACCTAGAATGTTGGCTTTTTTAGCAGCTGCTGCACACTACTAGCTTGNTGTTGGGGGCAATATGCTGACTCTGTAAACCGCTTAGAGAGGGCTGAAAGCCCTATGAAGCGGTATATAAGTCTAACTGCTATTGCTATTGCAAATGTTTCCTTACCCAACCCTAGTTGCTAGGCCTGATGATGTTCAAGAAATAACCAAACTCAGAAAGCACCAGGGACCACACAGTTCAACCCTGAGCTAGTAATATTCTCTACTCTTGGTTACTTTGGATTGTAAGATGACCAGGGGTAGGATTCAATCAGTTTGGACCAGTTTGGGCAAACCAGTAGCTCGGACAATCAGCTGAGAGCGAACCACTTCACTCTGATGATCAGGTGGGCCTGCCCATGCACTATACTGACCTATATTTCTTTCCATTGACGTGCCACAGCTGTTTTACTCACTGGGGCTGCAGTAGAAGGTAAGTTTTTGAGTGGTTTTCAAATCCATGGAGCATGCACAGAGCATAGGCTCAGTGAACTGGTTGTCACACTGGTTGAATCCCACCACTGAAGCTGACCACAGAGCTATGTGAATGAACAACATCTGAAAAGTGAGATTTCAGGTTCCATGTTTATATTCTCACCAGACCAAAATATGACTTTGTTCAGAAGTGGGATTTCTGCTTCCACCGGACAAAATCCCTGTGCTTTTTTATGTATACCTTCTGACCAAGGTTGATATCAAATGTTAGAGCACAAGGGGGAAAACTCAAAATTATCTTTTAACACAGCAGTGTTGTGGCCCACCAGCAGAGCTGGTGGCAGACTCAGATAGCGAGGAGGTTGGGGAGAAACATGGGCCAGTCCTGGAGTCTGGTGAAGGTTCTGATGAGGGCTCTGTGTTGGAGGCAGAGAGGGGGCCAGGGCTGTCCAACAGTAATCAGCTGCCTTCAGAGTTGGATATCAGTGGGGCAAAACAGCTGGAGCCTGTTCCAGATGTGCGCATGTGCAGAGCTGCCAGGAGAAGGGAACGGCTAAGGAACAAGGATCAACTAGGGAGTAAGGCCACAGGTGAATAGCCCCTCCCATAGGGAATAAAGAGGAGTGAAAGGGGAGTGGAGTTTGCAGGAGACAATTAGTTCGCTTAATTGGTTCATGGCTCTCAAAGACTCCTTGCCAAGTACAGTGTTGCGTTTTGAAGATATCGGCCTGGCAGGTTTCCAAGTCAGATAAGGTCTGTGACTGTAAATTCACCCTTGAAAGACTTTGTTGGATGTGAACGAGAGGAATTCACAGTAACTTAATAAAAAGGGNCCCTATGAAGCGGTATATAAGTCTAAGTGCTATTGCTATTGCTATAGAAGTTGCCTTCAGAAGTTGTGGGAGCTTCATCACTGGAAGCTTTCAAGAAGAGACTGGACTGCCATCAGTCAGAAATGGTGTAGGGTCTCCTGCTTGGGTGAGTGGGCTGGACAAGATGACCTACACGGTCCCTTCCAACTCTGTTATTTTGAGTTCCATGGATTTTTTTTTTAAAAAAGAGGGGAAAAAATATTGATGTAGGATGAAGTGAGGAGGAATTTTAGGAACTTGGAAGAATCATTGTATTCCAGCCCACAATCTCACCAAAAGTGTGAGATGGCCAGATGCTTCAAGCAGACCCCAATCTTCATTGGGAGGGGTGTGTGATCTTCTTTGGAATAACCACGAAAGACTTGTTGAAAATAAAGTTGAGCTATATTTTTCCCTGCAGAAAACTTCTGCCTGTGGAGGGGATGGGGGTGGGGAGAGAATACAGAAACATCCTTCTTTTGATGCCAGAACGAAGAAATGAATATAATTAAGGAAAATTGGAGAACATCCACCCACACACTATCTGTGCGACGCAGATGGCTCAGTGGTGGCCATGGAACCCCATGATGAAGACAACACAGGAGGACACAGCATAGTCTAGCAAGGCCTGACTCAGTTCCCCGCTGAGAGCAGATCTGCTTCTTTTTCTCCCTGTGAAGTTCATCTATTTAAAGAGTGAAGTTTGTTCTAGTTTCTTAGGATACCACGCTCATCATTCGGCTACACATCTGCCTTCAAAAATCAGGAGAGAAAGAAGATTCCTGTAGGAATGCGGCAATGTTCAATGATTTGCCTTTCTTCGATGTTCGGCTCTCTGGTTTCTTGAAGGAATGGTGTTTTTTTTTTTTTTTTATGTATAAGGGCATCCAGTAAATATGGAATTGACATAAAGCTACAATTATATTTCCTTGAATTCAACTGCACTAATTCCATCATCTTTGGAGAAAAGGCTTGGCAGTGGGAAGATAAACATCATCATACCATCAGACCAAGGATGGTGTTCACTTACTTTCCCTACCAGTTTGCAAATGTGAGCTCGTGCACCCCCTCAGTCCATGCATGCACTCGGCCTTCCACACATGCGCTTTGATCACGTGTGCGGTTTGCACACATGAACATAGTTTGAAAATGTGCCTAACGAGGACAGCATAGAGCCGGGGCAGGTGAATCACCCATGATTTCCACTACCGGTTTGGTCGAACCAATCCGAAATGGCTGAATCCCACTTCTGCATCAGATAGGTAGAAATGATATATTTGTCGCAGGAAATACTCAGCTGTGGACTTTCCCTAAAATATTCTGGTGGTGTTCAAGTTGGATCAGACAATAAACCAACTTGGTTTTTTTTTAAGGGATTTTCCAAGATGAAGGACACAGCCCCCAAAACAGAGGGCTATGAAGAAATAAGATAAGGGCCAGTTTGGTCTAGTGCTGTGGTGGGATTCAGCTGGTTCAGACCGGTTCAGGTGAACTGGTAATGGCAACCTGCAGGTGGGCCCACCCACCCAGCCCAGTGCTATGCTGTCCTATTTAGCCATGTTTTCTAAGTCACATGCATGTGTGCAAGCCATGCTCACATTTTCGGTGTGCAGCGAATCAGTGGTAAAATTACACCTCTGGCCTAGTGGTTAAGCCAGTTTGGTCTAGTGGTTTTATGCTTGAGGTGGTACTAGAACTCACAGTTCCTGGTTTTTAGAACTGTGCTAGAAAACAGGAACTGTGATTTCTATTACCACCTCAGGCATGAAAGCCATCTGTGTGACTTTGGACCAATCACCAGGAGCTCTAGTCCTGCCTTAGGTATGAAAACTGAGTGACTATTGGGTCAATGTCAGGAGACAATAAGCTAATCTGACTTTAGGCATGAAATCCAGCTGGTTGAGTTTGGGCCAGTCACTAGGAGGCTGTGAGTTCTAGTCCCGCTTTAGGCATAACAACGGCCTGGGTAGCTTTGGGCCAATCTTTGTCTCTCTTAAGGAGAGAAGCAACTTACAACTAAGGAGAAATTCCCTGACAGTTGGAACAATTAATCAGTGGAACAACCTGACTCCAGAAGTTGTCAATGCCCCAACATTGGAAGTGTTTAAGAAGATGTTGGATAGTTGTATGAAACAGTATAGGGTTTCCTGCCTAGGCAGGGGGTTGGACTAGAAGACCTCCAAGGTCCTTTCCAACTCTGTTAGTCTATTCTATTCTTATGAGTGGAAGCTCCAAAGACAAGATAGCAAATGTTTCCTTTGAAATACTTGGAAAGCCTTGGCATCAGAAGAAAGAAGAAGGCAGAATTCCTGCAAAGAGGGAAATATGGTATCCACAATCTTCTAAGACGGACAGAGATTATTTTAAAATACACTTCAGCCAAGCCAGAATAGCAATAGCAGTTAGACTTATATACCGCTTCATAGGGCTTTCAGCCCTCTCTAAGCGGTTTACAGAGTCAGCATATTGCCCCCAACAA